CCCCAAAACCCCAAAACCCCAAAACCCCAAAACCCCAAAACCCCTTAAGAAAGATATTAAAATTATCGAAAGATATATAAATTCAAAATGAAGTAAAACAATCTTAATAGTAATATCAGCAACTCAAGTGGTACCTCTCAATAGACTTCCAAGATTTCTAATCTTAAGTTCCCCTCAGGACTCAAGCCTAAGACGCAAATCTAATAGCAATTGACATAAGGTAAGGTTTCCCCTCTTTCTGACTATATTTATAGCTTCTAAAACAGCAACCCTGCAAAACAATCCTTTCTAGTTCGGGCAAATGATTTAACAAAACAATTAACCCCAACTATAGCCTAGTCTTAGCAAAGTTAACAGTTTATCTGGAGCAAATAGACCTCAAACATCTCAGAATCAACCTAACTAGGTCTAGCCATTACTTCTAGGCTCAAGCACATAAATGCAGTTAATGATTTAAAAGATATTGGGAACTACCTCTAATAGCAAGGATAACTTTGTCATTTTCAACAAGCAAGAGTGCCTCTATCTGTCCTAGTCATTTTTAGTGATTTATGACTTTGTTAGGGATGTTTAAGTAATTCACTTTCAGAATCCTAACAACAAACCCTATCGAGCACTGCTTTATGATAAAGAGACTTAGACCATAATGATTGGAGAGGGGAACACCAAACAAGGAGAGATACATATACTGAAAATATAAGCATCTAGCAATGTAAATAACAGTATTGGAACTGGCTAAAAAACTAATTACACTCTAGAAATGGTAATGGTACTAAAAGGGCATAAATATGGAATAAAGCAAATTTAAGCTCTAGGTGACATTATAATCAGTGTAGGTGATGAAATTGATAAAGGCATTATTGTTTGGGAGACAGTTACTCCCAGAATATTGAGTGCTAATCTTATAAAAGAGAGTAGGATAAATGGTGCATAATTCTATCAAGCTATAAACACTTCTGATGAGGGAGGGGAAATTTAGTTTATAACTTATGGCTAGCATGGACATTTGAAACTGTGGTCAATTGAAGTGCATAAAGATGACAACTACCTTGTATACTCAGTTCAGACTGTGAATTCAAATAAGAGTGGTCAGAGCATTCCTAAGATGATTGGGAATAAAATAATTTTTATGAAAGATGGTAGTGATCAAGATAAAGTAGAGTTCACTGATCTAATAATACATAAAGGATCAGCCATAGTCTTAGGGTACTTAGAGGATGAAAATAACTTTAAGACTTATTCAATTTCGAGAGTCAATCTCCTCTCCTTTAAAATGGAAGCTTAGTATCAACTCCCCTATTCATAAAATAACTACTTAATGCTTTTGGATGAAATAACTAATTAGCTCATTGTTTATGGCTCATTCTAAAGGCTTTAAACCTATGATGCAATGACATTGAAGCTTACAGTATAAAAAGACCTTAATTGGGCTAATCCTCCCTAATTGGGTATTCTATAAATGATAAGCCAAGAAATTTATGACTATTTGATTTAAACTTAACAGTAAGAAAATCAGCAATTTGCATAAACCAGAGCCTTAATAATGAACAACGGCATATTAATATAAATTTTGGAAGATGGTATGATATTGATACACGACTATGCATAAAATAAGCTTATTCGTGTAATGATCTAGCATTTTAACTCTATAAATGATTTACAAATTAAGGAATATCTGTAGTATGAGAAACAGTTGTCATTCTTCACTTGTAGTAGTGACAATACACTAAGAATGTGGAATACTTGCCTTTCAGAATATGATGAACAGGCGTATCAAAGTAAAAAGCCTTGTGATGTTGATCTTAAGAGAATAGTCAGGATAGATGAAAGTGATTAGTTCAATGAAGATGAAGATCAATAACCCTAAGCAAATAATCTGCTGAATGAAGACTTGGGTATAAAATGTTTAGCTTATAATAAAATGAGAAATTAATTAGCAGTGGGAGATATGGTTGGAAATTTAAGACTTTACTAAATGAGCGCAGACAATCATCAGTATTTGCATCAAATTAACTATGTCGAGGCTCATGAAGGCAAAGTAGTAACTTTGTAATACTCAGAGCCATTTAATATCTAGGGTGGTTATGTTTAGTTCTTAATTTCAGCTAGTAGTGATAGAATGATTCATATATTTAATGCTACTAATGATGAATATGAGCTAATATAGACAATTGATGTCCATACCACTTCTATAGTTGATGCTAAATTTGCTGTTTGCACCATTGGCATCAAGAATAAACACAAAATAGTATCTTATGAAAAGTAGCTCAGATTATATACTTGCTCTACTGATAAAACAGTACTAGCTCACAAATATAATCCTGTAGATGGCAAATTTATAACCCTATCACCAAAAGACTTGCATCGCAATAAGATATATAAGATGGCTCCTACAGAATAAAACGTAATATTTGCAAAGGATTAAGGGATCATTGAGATTAAAAGTATTGAGGGAAACAAGTCAATTCAAAATTTCCAATAATCTTCATAAAATCAGAGCCTAAGTAAATCCTTGCTTGATTATACCTTTATGACAATAAGTTAAGACAGTCAAATGATTGGATTATGTGATAAGGAGAAATCAATATAAATAAGAGATGTAAGATATCTTGGCAATCTTTTGAGTAAATTCAACCTTGCAGATTCGTTAAGCAGTTTATAAATTACAAGTGACAATTAGTATGTGATAGCTTCAAGTTAAAGTTCAAAAGAACAAGGCGGAGGTCTCATTTATATATTCAAGGTTGAGAATAATGCTCAAAAAATAAAAAGAATGAACCAATAAACTTTAGCTTAGCGCAATGCAGATAAGTTGATAACTGTTGATACTACAGCCAAGCCAGCTTAATCTAAATTCGAGCCTAAAGGCTTTGAATAATTATCAAACATGCCTTAAGCTAGGAAATTTACAGTAAGAGAGGATTTATATAATACATGGGCAAAGAGCACTAATAAAACTGAAAATCAACCAATAAACACTTCTATAGAAAACTAGTAAATATAATCAAGAAATATTGAGGAAATAGAAAAATAGTAGCAGTAAATTATAATGCAACCGACTCATAATCTAAGAAGAACTTCGACTGGTTAGAATCCTGTCTAGCATCAGAAAACATACGATTAAAGAGCTTCAAATTTATCTAAGGAATCCTAAATTAGTCCTACCAAAATACACAAAAGTTAGACCTAGGCTGAAGCTTAAGTTAAAGATATTTAAGATATAAAGGAAATAGATGATTTCATTAATGAAATGGTAAATGATGACGAAACACTGCTAAATGATTTAGATACAGCGAAGATAGAAGAGGATGACATAAAATCTCCTATAAATGGAGATGAAGAGTAAAAGCAATAGTTTGATAAGAAGAGCCTTGTGGATTCAGAGAAGATCTCGATTGAGGAGTTGTCCGAGGGTGAATTAGATTAGAAAATTCAAGATAAAATGAAGATGACTCTGCTAGACAACACTAATATCAACAATAGAAGCACTCTGAATTTAAGAAATTCATTAACTATGAAGTATCTAATTGAAACACCAAGGGCTTAAAACATGCTAACTAGTAGGAATACTGAAGCCAGATAGTCGATGAGCTTTAGTAATTTTAGAACAACAGTGAAGGATGATCAGAATCTAGCAAAGAAAGCTATGCTACTAGGGTTATCTGATAAGAAAATTGAGGAGGTTGAAGAGGGTCCCACTAAAGATGATGCTGCAGTATTCAATGAGCAATTAGATAGAGTAATGACAATTATCAACCAATAGATTGGCTTGCCAGCTGAGAATCTTGAAGATTCCTCAAAGGTCTAGATATCTATGAAAATCAATAGAGCTATAGGGCTATTGACAAAACTTTAAACTTAGTTTTTGGAATAGTTGTGAATTAAATTTAGAGTAAGCAATGCAACCTGGCAACCTGGATAATTGATTATACTGTTTGATTATATTAATTAATTTATCATAAATTAAATTTTTAAAATGTTCTATCAAGTGGGAGGTTTTGTGACTGGAGTAGCTATATCTAGCGTGTTTGTCATAAACATGAATGATATCATATACACATAACTAAGGAGAAATGTTATTGGTCCCTTTAAGAAAGTATTGGATCGGAGAGAGAAGAATTAGGCTGTAGATATGCAGAGTGTTAGTGAAGTTGGCAGAGGAACATTGAATTTCCTGTCTCAGTTCAGGCCAAGAGCCTTGGAGCATCAAAGTGCTAAGAATTTGCTTATGACAGACTAAAACTATGGGACTCCCTAAGATTCTTATTTTGCTTATATTAACAAGCGAAAGAAGGAGGCAGCTATTGACACTAATAGAGAAGAATATGTTTTATCTAATCTAGGTCTTGAGAAACTTCTACCATTAGAGATTAATGAAAATACCAATAAATTGGAAATTAAGTCACTTAGCGATGATTTGATTAGAGAAATTTAGGAGATCAACCCTGATTTGAAAATAGAGGATACAGAGCTATTAAAGATAACCTAAATGAGAGAATAGGCTATAGAGAGATACGTTTAAAAAACTATAGAAGAGGATGGTGCTTAGAAATTTACTAAGAAAGATTACTAAGTTCTTAATTCACTGAAGTTCACAAAAATTATGGAAAAGGTAGAAGATGATAAAATTGAGAAGTAATTTTCTGATGATGAGTTTAGTTCATAGGCCTAGTAGATGCTTAAGATATAAAAGAAAAAGGATGCTGTTAAAAATAAAAGAGAATAAAGGTTAATGGATAAAGAAATCTAGCGACTGCTATAAAATCCCCAAAAAGTAGATGTAGATAAAGCCTTAGAGCTATATGATAATTAACCTATTGAAGCCAAGCAAGTTACAAATAAAGATCTCAGAAAACTAAGGAGACTTAAGAGAAAAGCTGAAAAAGTTGATGCAGCATTGTAAAAGCCACAAATAGCACAATCAGCAGCTGAATAATAATAGAGCATAGATAACTAATCATAAGAAGCAGTGTAGCAATAAGAATAAGAAATAAAGACAGCAATTAAATTCGCTGAAGAACTGGGAGGTGCTAACATTAACTCTGAAATCGTTGATGTAGATGACCTTATTAAGTGAACTTAATTTATCTTAAATGTGACTTATAAATAGTTAAGGTGCTAGTTTTATATTAATTAAGTAAGTTAAAGAGAGATAATGACTTTATATAAATATATATGTTTGCATAGTTATAGTTATTATGAAAATAAATTTGCTACAATATCTCTCTATCATTTTCCGTACTTCTGGAACTCCCAATCTCTATTATCTATAAGATTTAGTCGGGTTGAACTATAATACCTAATGGACAGACTTGACGGGTCTTTAACCATCTAGAAATACAATGAAAGTGGAAAGCGTGATTGCAAACTCCCCAGGTGACGGTGCATTCTTCATTGGCATTAGCAACTTGATTAGCTTGGCACTCAATACCTATTTAGCATCATTAGAGATTATTCTCAGAAACATATTTAAATGAAGAATTATCCATTAAGGGCTCTCAAATGATGATTTCAACTTACATGGGTCCATAATATGGTTTCTGCAAATAGCACAGTTGTCAACATGAATATCTATAATGTTATGAGGAGTTTAAAAGTACCCCAAGCCCAGAGAGCAACAGCGTTCCATTTCTTAATTTCAAATCTTTTTTGTGGGGCAGCCTCAACCATTTTGTATCTATTTAAATTTATTATATCTATTTTTTAATCAAGAATTTCTAGATAAATGAACCATGGGGTTTTGGGGTTTTGGGGTTTTGGGG